GTTAATGTTGTAACTGGAGGAATACCGTGATACTGTCATGGACGGATAACGCAGCCTCCCAGGTGGTTCTTGTTGGATCTCATGCCGCATGCCATGTGAAATTTTGTTCACGTGGAAATTCGATTTCGTTAATTGAAAAGGCTCGATAACTTATCAATTACGTTTACGTTGGCCAGTGTGGCACTTTGGAATGTTTGTAAATCGAGGGATACCTGTATAGCATAGCATACATGGATTTACAGACCCATGTTTTTGACCATTATAAATATAATGGAGCATCAATGGATGTTTTTCAATTGAGTTTTATACAGAATTTCCAGCCTTAACTTAATGCACATGAAAAGGTTTAAGAACGTGATGATTATCATCAAATGCTCATGAATAAAAATGTTTCCATGAACCTCTGGTAGATAGCTTCTAAGTGAGTTTTTTTTTACCATTTCATATTAACCACTGAGGAATAATTTACACGATATCATATTTATATACTGCATTTCCTCCGAAAATTAAAACGTATTCATGTGCAATGCAATTTAAACTTCTCTGATAATCCAAAAAGAACTAAAGAACGAATCCCTGCAACATGAAAACTACTCAAAGTGAAACTGGTGGAGTATTTTGGTGTAGCACAATATTGAAATAGTCTTTACTGAGTGAGGCTTTTCTGACTCTTGGGGTTATTTTTATTTAGGGCTGATAGCTTGATTAAATTTTTAGAATGAGGTGTATGTAAATTAACTACAACAAATGAACAACATTTCCGTGTATGTTGCCTTTCTGTCAACGTTTAAAAACATTATACTCAGTAAAATCTCATTTTTATCTGCATAAAAAGCATTTTCATTGATGCTCTCCATCAGACTGGCCATGCCCTTTATATGATTGACTTTTTTTTCATTGGGGCATCTTAAGAGATGGCACTACCTTCCATTGTTTTGTGATGCCACCAGCCACACCGTGGCCAGGTAGCAGCTTATATTACTAAAACCAAACTTTGCAGGCCTCACATTAAACCTGCCTGCCGCCTTAGCAGGCTTGGGTATGTTGATCAGGCGCTGCTAACATGTACATTACATAGAACACACACTACTCTGTTCACTTTCACCTGTGGTGCATGCACATGTTTAAAGATTATCCTGTAAGCAAATCATAATTCTGCATTAGATTGTTTTAATGTTTTAATTTTACTTTTCTAGCGATATGAATTGAATGGCAATCCATGTATAAATAAAAAATCCAGCTAAGTGGCTTCTATGGACAGTTGATTTTTCAGTTTCATTTATTTGTAATAACCCTGTGAGCCATTCGGCTCTTGATTCGGGTGCAACCGCAACAAACAATAAAATTACAAGATACATTTAAAATTTACTGTACGCAAATAGAAACATCCCCTACAAAAACAATAACATCTTCCAGAAGAAGCACCATTTGTTTATGCTGCGTACAAAAATGTGCAAAAAATCCATTTTATGTTAGATCACAATAACAATCATAATACAATATAGATTAAAATTTTAAGTGTAACTTTATACTATATGAAAAAAATCGGGCTAAACTAAATCTTTCTAGAAATTACTAAAATAATGATATTAAAACAATGTAATGGTGATCGTAAGAAATGTGATTGAAAGTTTACAATAGCGACATACATAACATATATTACTAAACCTAGCATCCTTCGCTAGCTGAATGAGTCAATCCATAATAGCAGGAGTAACAATAGTAGTAGCAGCAGCACACTATAATCAAAATACATGATAATTTCTCGCATTGTGAATCCCTCGTGTGCCCATGGAGGTTATGCGTTGTTATTTTTTTTTCAGTCAGAAGCTGGTGTCAGTATGGCCTAAAATCTGGTGACGATTTAGAGTTTCAGCAATGCAATTTTCAGGCAGTGGGGCTTTGTTTAGAAGTGCATTTGGGGAAAAATGGACTTGGTATGATTGTCTAGTTATGCCTACATAAATAACTTTTCAGTACTGGTCCGATGTTAACATCGGGGTTATCGAGTGAGTGGCACTCTTGGGAGAATGATATTTGTCTGCTCTGAAGAGCAATGACCATGAATCGCTCTACTGAAGTGGAGTGCATGTGGTAGAGCCATTGGTGGAGGAGAGTGGGATGGGGATGGTATTTTAGAAAGATATGCATGCCATTGTTTATAACTCGTATCTCTTCCAGTTCCCTCATCGTTTTATATAAAAGGCTTGTGCAGTTAATTTATTTTTATTTGAAGTATCCAAACTTGCAATGTTTATTTTTCAATTATGTTTGAGAAGAATTTGCCTCATGGTAATGCTATATTTCATTTGGAGGAAATATCACAATATAAAAAGTATAAGCTGCAATAGATGCAACAATGAAGAGAATATTTCAAAATGCAGCATGTTATTCTCGAGTACAATTATATTTTTTTCTAGCCAAATACTCATGTCACTTACAAATCATCTTGCAGCTTTGTTGTTGATGAATAGGCAGATAATTCACTTACTCTCAAATGAACAGTACTTCTTGGTGGCACAGTACAAAATTATTATACACAGGGTAAAGAACACTAGCCATTGAATCCATGTGATGCAATCATTTTCTTTGCAAAGCCATTGCTATTCCGTCACACAAACTTAATAGCAAATGTATCTAGCCTATGTGTGCACTTGTAATATTCTTGTTCAAAACCAGCAATAATTGTCCATTCATTGTCTAAAGCATGTCATTTTGCTATCGTACGCTTCTTCCCACGAAATGATGTTCGCTGTTTCTCAACAGGTAATGGTGTTACTTGTGCGTGTACACAAAACTGACACCGCCACTATATCAAGTGGCACATGTATCTCACAGGGCCATGAGCACTGCTCCCGCCCATTGGCCATCTATTCACAAGGCGCGGAGCCCGTGTCGCTGTAGGCCGTTCTGGTCTCGTGCCACCAGGCCGCTTCATTTGCTCCTCTCTTAGCGCACGTTCTCTGCGCAGGGAGGCTGAACGCATGTCCAATACAGAATTTTAAGCACTGGTTACATATGGCAACCTGCTTTAAATGGTGTATTGCTGCTGAGCAAGTAACTCAATTGTCGTACCATTCTAATGTATAACTAATTCACTTACTGGGTTGTATAAGGCTGGAAATATTATATGCATATGTTCAGCCTGCTGGTGATGCTAGCAGAGTGTTCAACCCCGAAGGTTGCAAGTTTAAATCCAGGATCGTGGTCACTTAGGCTTATGATCCTTTTTGTAGTTCATGAAATTAGTTGCATTCTGTAGGAAGTCAACAATGTTTGTCCTATGTGGAGACTTCCCTCTGACATTATAATATGGAATATCCACCACTCACTCAGGGCCACCACTTTGAGCAGAACATTGTCCCAACGCTCATTTGAGTTGGTCTTGCCTTTTTAAAAGTACATTTGTGTGCAGCATTGGCAACAGACTTGTAATCCACAAACAAATCAAGTCGCTTTCCAGAAGCTATGTGGTTCCAGATGTTTCGGAATCTTCGGGGGAAGCAGCACGCACGTAATGAGAGTCAGCAGTTTCGTATTATATCTAAAAATATAAAAAGGTTTAGAGGACCAGTGATGAGCAGACTGTCCTGGAGCTCGTCTGTGGTATTAGGAGCTTGGGCAAGGAGGAGAAAAATGGAAGGCTTAAATGTTAAAATGCAAGACTGTGCACTTTGTGGCTGCTGCAGATTTTTTTTCTCACAAAGTATACACTCAAGGACCACTAAATGCATTTAACTGTTCTGCTTATTTGTATTGTGAATACGCACAACAAAGGCGGCACCACAGAGGTGGCATTCCGTGGCTGTGGTGTGAATTAACAAAGTAGTTGGATCCAGGTCAGCACTTTTAGGGGTGTGTTAGATGCTGGTCTTGCCTTTTGGACATGAACCAAGCATAAACTGAAGCCACATGTGGAATTCACAATTTACAGCAGAATGAGAGAGTCTTCATGAAAACTATGATTTGTATTACATAAATTAGTTATGGTGCGTTATGCATCCAGCCTTTGAATATTTTTTGGAACGCCTACCCATTTAATTTCTTTTTTCAAATCAAGCAATCCTTCTGAAATATCTTCCCAACATTTATCACATGGCAACATCCTTCTAGATAGCAATTAGTGACATGGAGCAATTTTTTTCCTGCAAAATGAAATACCACATCTGCATGAGAACGCTCATTTATTCAGTATCTGCCTGCGATTTTTGACAGCTCTAAGTTATATCTGACAAACTGGATTAGCTACCAACATTGTCCCTAATGACAGAGAGTGCTGCAATGTTTCAATTAGGGCTCGAGCCATGACCCGTGCTACTCTGGTCGCCCAAGCCGGGCTTGGAGCCAGCATCTGGAACAGCTCTTCAGGCCTAATCTGTAGTCGTCCCCTTGCATTGCCTTAATGGCTTAATCTGCACACCAACCTGCAGCCTAGAATCCCTAAAGAAGCCGGGGGTTGATAGACAGCTGGAGCAAAAAAACTAAGCTTTAAAAGGAATTGTTAAAATGCATAAATTAAGGTAACCAATCTCAGGAGTAGACAGTAAATTTACCTACTACCGATTTTGAATGTGGACCTTTTTTATTTCATTACAATAATGTGCTTGTGGTTGACAGCTCCTTTAACACTTCAGACAGGAAGATAATAATTTTCTTAATTGGAACATGCGGTCAGCATTCTGACATGCTTGTGTAAGGCATAGAAAACAAACTTTTAATTGCACGAGACATTATAACTAATTGATGATAATTGTTGTTTTCTTTGTTGTTCCAGTAAATAATGCAGATGCATCTGGTTTTGGGAATTAATTATTGACCTCCCTAGAACAAGTTTAAATATCAATACGTGACTGCTATTTTTGACACTGACATGCTGATAGTCATTTGAAGCTCGATACAACAGTCTATGGTTTGGATATTACGGTTCTGAAGAATGCTCATTGTTGAGAGTTTCAAGGTTCTCCCATTTGTTTCCTCCCTGCACAACTCTGTTTTTCCAGCTGCAAAACCAAGGTGTACCCAGACGGGCTGCCGAAGACGAGTGTGGTGATTGTGTTCCACAACGAGGCTTGGAGCACACTGTTGCGCACAGTGCACAGCATTATTGGCCGCTCCCCACGCCACATGCTCGAGGAGATAATCCTGGTGGATGACGCCAGCGAGCGAGGTAAGCGTTCGTGCATATAGCAGCCCTTCAGTTTAACTCGGTGGCCTTAATTTAACCGGGTGGTGCATTGTCTCTTTTGCGAGGAACACCCGTTGTGGGGTGGCGGCGTAGCTTGGAGGTGAGAGTGCCGACTTGGCAACCGTCGAGGTCCCTGGGTTCAATTCCAGGCAGCCTCCTGCTATTAAATTGGGTCCTCAAGTTAAGTGAAATGATGGTCTCCGCCCAGTCGCCGATGATTGCACCAAAAAAAATATCCATCACATTCAATTTGGTTCTGCACGTTATTTGGCTAGATTTCAGCTCCGAGAATTTAATATTTTTTCACTGTCATGCTACAAACCTTGCTCTCATCAGCAGAGCGAGCAAAAAGTACAGCCATCTGCTTTTTGTTGATCAGAGGTTATTCTGTGATATCTATTTCCGAGGGCCATTCTCCAACATGAAGGATTGCATTACACTGCGACAGATCCAACAGCGCCCTTTGTCTCTTGCCGTGACGCCGATAGCACAATCGGGATAAAATTGGGGGAATTGGAAAAAAAATAGGGGGAATAAATTTAATAAAAAGGAACACCCACATGAATATAAAAATAACACTTTCATATGTTAGCTGCATGGGATTGTCAAATTTTATTTGGGTTATGAAACGGTAGACAATGTGTGCACAAAATTTAATTGAGCCTTTCATTTCCATTTTACAGCAGATGGCATACTTTGGTAATTACTTACCTAAATTATTGGGCAACAATAGGAACAGAACAGTCCTGTAGCTATAAATTGCCTGATAAGCACTTTGTCATATGTTTCCGATTCTAGATGGATGTCTGTTCTTCTGCACGGTTATTAGGGGGTGCACCGTGAGACACTGTTCGAGACGTTCTGTGGCAGAGGAAGTGCTGTATTTACTCCCTCCTTTCGTGACCGGAACATATTCATGGATAACCTTTGTGTTATATTTGTCGGTTTTCTTTCCCGATAATACGTGAGAATTCAGAGTGACCCATGGTGGTCTCAATAGTATAAATGTGACTGTGATCGATACACACTTGTCTGGGTCATTGCCGCCACGAGTCGCATGTGGAAGGATTTTGCCAGAGTAAATTGTAGACTGTAATTCTTTTAATCTGGACTACGCCATTGGTTTGCATTAGCTGGAGGAAAGTAAATGTGCTCGAATACAAAGACGTGCTCTGAATGTGATACAGATTCTTCTGTACTCCTGAAAAGGTCAAGGTGACCTTTAAAGTAGATTATAGTAACTGACAGTAATGATGGTGCTTTGCCAGGTTTATTATAATAGTGGATAGTTTATGTGTGATTTCCTACCATTTCCGCATTACAGATGTCATTTTAGAAGCATCTGTTTATAAAAGTGTCCATTTTCTTCCGGTTCTTGTAATGAATGGTGCACGCTTTGATTGAGATACAGTAAATCTAATAATGTATAGCAGATGCCCGTCATTATGTAAACTAACTACTCTGCTTCGCAATATTTAGCGAACATGTGTAATATTTCCAGTTTTTTATTCGCTCAGTATTTCTTTCTCCTGTTTTCATGTTGGTCATAATTAGGCTCCTATTTCTCAAAGTGTAGCGTTACATCCTGAAGCTAAGGAATAGTGTGTGGTGTGCATGTTGAGTGTCGAGGAATGCTCAGGGCTAATCTGTCCGCTGTCGCTTTCCATCTTAATAAACAGTGTCCCTAGGCGGTGCCAGAAGGAGATAGCCTGAAGCAGCTAAGTGAACGCTGCAATTCTTCGATCAACATGCGCACAATGCACTTGTCCGTGGACATTTCGGTATCACCCTGATGAATGGATTTTCTGATAGATTCAGCCATGCTTCCTGAAGAGGCAATGCAACGCTTAAATGGCTGCGTTTGGATTAAACATTTGTTTTAGGTGGATTGACAAGCGCTAGCTTTGATCAGAAGTCATGTCCTCTGTAGTAGTTAACTTTGCAAGTGCAATTGCTGAGAAGAAACTTTTGTTAATTCTCAAATCCAATTAGTGAGCAATAAGTACGCTGCTATAAGCCTTCTGGCTGGAGGCTTAACTTACTGCAAGGGGTTTGACTCGATGGGGTGAAGCCTCTGAAAGAGACTGTGACGGCACACAATTTTGCTTCATTATCTACAATTCATATTAACTTACATTTTGTGACAGTTTTTTTTTCCCCTCGAGCTGTATGTTACTGGATTTAGACGATATAGCTGGCAGTATGCGAGTCAACCTTTTGGAAGATATGCAATAGCTGTTATTTTATACCTGTCATTTCTGGGTCTTGATTCCAGTATGCTTTATACTAGACCTCTGCAACACTCAGCCACTTATATAAGAATTGTGTCTGATGTTTTCATTCCTTGTTTGTGCTGCAAAAGGGAATTGTAAGATAGTTTGTTTTTTAGTTCATGTTTGACTGTGTAATTAGTGGTGTTAATTTCGTGAAGGGAGATGGCTTGATAAACTATTTTTTTAGATAAAAGAAGGTTTTTTTTTAAAATTAATGACATTTTGTAGTTTCAAGAATTCACTACAGCCCTCCTTTTGATATTTGGCCAATTCCTGTATGAATACTCTATTTGGGTGAGTGGGGAGAACCTCAGTGTCCAAAGAAAACCCACAGAGGATGAGATAACACTCAAATTTCAATTATACAAATGTCAGATAGATGATTCGTGAAGCTGATATTTATCTATTGAAATGGTGTTGTTTATTGACACTTTCTAACTAAGCTTTAAAACATAAGCCTTGTCTGTCTCAATATGTTTGTCTTCAACTTTTATCCAGTATAAATAAAAGTCTTGTTAAATGTTGTTTTGCTGTTAGTGACTTACCCAAAAAAAACCCAAGCTAAATTGATTCGAAAGGTATGCCCATAATTTGTCAACAACAACAAAAAGAACAGTGCTAAATGGATATGCCCTTTGCGTTAAGGCGATGACGTCACGCACCTGTGTTGTAGCGTCGCCTTGCGCCGTCACACGTCGTCGCAATGGGACATTTCACAACGTCGACTCGGAAGCTTACCGTTATTGTCGCTAATGAGTAATTCCGAGGACTCTTTCTTGGTAGATTTTCTAAAGAGTCCGCTGGAGGAGTACGCCAGCAAGCTGCCGGTGCCGGTGCACATTGTGCGCATGGAGTCACGCTCTGGCCTTATCCGAGCCAGGCTCCGGGGGGCGGCCGTGTCGCGAGGTCAGGTGATCACGTTCCTGGATGCGCACTGTGAGTGCACTACAGGGTGGCTGGAGCCGCTGCTCGCACGCATCAAGGCTGACCGGTGAGACCGCGCGAGCTTGAGCATTGACCACAGTGCATAACCCAATACCTATGAATCTTATTCACGATAAAGGATTTTGTATGTATGTATGTATGTTGAACTTCTTTCGCATCATACATAGCCAACCGTCCATAGCCAGTTTATATATTATTGGACGATCCGATGTTTTGTTACCTATGAATCTTATAAAAACAGTCTTTCTCAGGGGTGTAGATAGGACATCATCATCATTTACATAACACATATAAAGCTAGAAATAGAAATGTAGAAATGGAATAAATGTTACTGCTTACGAAATGTGGTGCAGTGATCGATTGCATTTATACTAATGAGAACTCACATGATTAACAATAATTGCTCCTGGTATGCTTTACCTTTAGGTGATTTAGACTGGCAATACTTTCAGCATTGACAAGGGAGCATTACCATTATATTAACTGTTAAAATTGAAAAGTAATCCCTTCACCCCATTATCACACGTGTAAATCTACATAATTAAATTTACACTGTGAGGTGCTTGATATGGGATTTTCTCAGATTATATTTTCATATGCACCCCTAATTTTTTTTTTACCCACAGTCTATTTAGAAAAATGTAAGCAAATGTCACGTGCCTTTTTGACATTGTATCACAGATGGCGGCATCACGGTATGAATTGGAACATTTTGCGGCAAATTAGTGATATCTGCACCCTTAGAATTGTACGTTATAGATGATACATTTAATGTAATGCATCTCTGGTTACAAAATGGTCATATCGTACATGATCAGTTTAGCGCACTTAACGAAAGATAATAGAAGGAAGAAAGTAGATTGCGATTGAAAAATAACTTCTGAGGTCAATGGGTTCTACCAGAAATGAACCGACTCACCGACTGAGATGAAAGAAGATTCAAGGGGATGACTAGAGATCAATGGCAAGACAAGAACCAGAATCAGGACACTGCAACAGAAAGGGTTGAGCCAAGGATGCTTGTTGGTGAGCTAAAACGGTACGTCACGAATTGTGGGACAAGTGAAACGAGGTGAATTGACTCGGGACAGGTCTGGATTAAAGGACTACATAGGAGGCATCGGGCAGGAAATAGGGATTGTCATTTAGTAACAGGATAGTGAAGTACCGTGTCCAGGTTTGTATCAGTGGGTGAGTGGATCATTACAGTCGGGCTACGGTTCAGAAATTGTAATGTAGGAGTTGTGGAAGCTGAATTCATCTTCTGAGACCACAGAAGAGGAGATGGCAAAGCAATTGATAATCCACTACAGTCGGTTTTGGGCACAGCACCCAAGCTCGGAGACGCCATTGCCCAGGAAAGAGTTAATTATGATGAGTGGGGGGCGTTTTCTAGGGCGACGTGATGTAGGACAGCTGAATGATAATGGAACCATGAGACTTGAGTTGTGCAGCAGCAACACATTAATTATCTGTAACACAGTTGGAACAGAAGAAGTCACGCAAACTGACATGAAAATCGGCCGATGATAAGACTGAAGCTCTGATTTAATTGTAACCAATGAGCAGCATAACACATCTGTTCTTAGGATGAGAGCTTACAGAGCTGCAGATATCTATTCAGACAACAAACTAGTTGTGAAGCTAGGCGGTAAGCGAGCCAGAGGAGCTATTGTTTCTAGCATTGACACAGCAAAGCAAAAGACCCCCAAGGTGTTACAACATTTTCAGGTTAGCATTGGAGGTAGGTTTGCAGTGCTTGTGAACTTGACAGCAGAAGGGGACTGAGCCAGAAGCAAAAGAGACTCTGGGAATACTTGAAGGCGGTTATAGTTGAGGCAGCAGCAGAAACACTATATCTTTTAATAATGAAGTAGTTGGAAAAGTGTTTAAACTGAAGAAGCCGTAGCTATGGGTGGGGAATTAATGCCAAAGTTGCATGGTGAGAACAGTAGGGAAGAACAGGGGAGGATGTGGGTTACGTTGAAGGAACACAGCAAGGAAAAGATATAGCAAATGTGGCGTATTACTTTTGCAGAGTGGGTTTTTGATGGGCTGTGAAAAACTACTTTGGAATAAAAAAGAGAAGTTTGAGTGTAATGAACAGGATATTTGAGGCAGGAGTTTTATCTGGATTAGTGTATGGATCAGAGAGCTGGACGCTAAGTAAGCAAGTCAAAAAAAAGTTGGCATTTGCGTGAGCACAAGTGTCGAGACAGATGTTTGGAATTGAATGGCAAGACAGAATAAGTAATGCAGAAGTCTGGAAGAACACATGGCAGGTGAGTGTTTTTGATGTGAGAGGCAAAAACGGTTAGCCGGGTGGGACGTGTATGGGATAGGTGGTTGGGGGGGAGCTCAATGCCGAGACATACATTGGAGTGGTCGCCACCGTCCTAGATGGTGGGATATTGTTCAGGCAGATCTTGGAGGTCAGGTTGTTAACTGTACAGCAGCTGAGGAAAAACTGGCAGAGGGTAGAAAGATGGGGCATGATCATGTTTAGGCCACTTGAGTCAACTTATGATTGCAAATGATCCAATCACGGCTTTTATTGATATTTATATGTGTTCAAAGATATAAATATATTTACGTGTTCAAAGATATAAATATATACTTACATATGCTCGGGATTTAATCCCAAATTTCATGTTAATCCTAAAAATCCCAAAAATCCCAAAATCAGGCCTAGCTATGAAATGTCAGACGATCCAGATTAATCTGAAAATGGTAAGTGATGTAACTGACACAACGACACTTCCACGCTTTTGCCACCAAAATGACATTGGATGATGTCGCTATCATTAGCACAGAGAGACAGTTTCCATTAGTAAGTAAAATAAATTATCTGAAAAGCCAAAAATCTGATACTCCATCACATATACGAATCCATTGTTTTAAAAATAATGTGTTAAAATAACAATTTGTCATCTACTTTATTCCCCGGCCTACTATATGTTTTATTCATTATATTACTCACTATTGTGTTCTAAGAGAGTATTTATGCCAAGATTCTATCCTTGCACACGATGGCCTACATGAGTTAAAGGGATTTTTTTTTCATAGCTGCCTGGAAGCAGATGGAACAACAGGCTTAGCATCTGCTTTGAGGAAGCCACATTTATTAATAATGCATCAGTAGATCATTACGGTGGGGCCGGGATGGCAGCTCAATCCCTAAACCTAGAGGCAAAGGATGTACCACTTGGCCAGTGAGTTATCCCTTTTATGTGTAAATTAAATGTTTTAGTTCGTTTGATTATAGATGGCATGCATTGTCTTCTCTAATTAGCAAAAAGATGCCTTGTGACATGCATAGTCCTATGTGTTTTCTCCAGTAGATATGTTTTTTTTTAATATAGTACTCCCATGGCACCATCTTAAAATTTCTAAAGACTTTATTTCCCTTTTAAAGAATGTTCAAAGGCTATTACAAATGTGCTGACTTGCCTGTAGCAGATATGGAAAACTCGCGCTTTGTTTTTTTTATACGTGCCTTTTGTCTTCTCTTCTGCATACAATAATTTATCTCTTTTATATTATTCTAACCAAAATTATAATGTATAATTTTATCACTCCCTCCGTTCATTATCATTCATTGTCTGCCCACTGCTGGATTAAGGCCTCCGCATGCTATCACCATCTCTCACAGTCCACCACTGCTTTCATCCATCTCACTCCTATGAATAAACTGATCTCATCACTCCATCTCCACGGGGATCTTCCTCTTGGACACATTCTCTCTTTTGGCTGCCATTCCATCTCCAATCTTGTCCATCGTTAATATCGCATCTCTGATTTGTGTCTGTTCCCTCATGTGTAGGTTCCTTTTTTGTCCCTTGGTGTAATGCAAAGCTGCATTTCCCCATGCTTTTTTCTGCACTTTGCAGATTTTTTTTCTGTTAACTTTGTCAATGTCTTTTTTTCTGATTTGTGCCATATTTGGCCGTATGCGCTTATTGAAAACTTTATTCTTCGGACACATTGATATCTCATTTTCATAATCATGTTGTCATTTTGATCCCAATTTTCCTTCAACAGTTTTTTTTTTATTTTGTTTAGCAAAATACCCCCAAAATTCCTTTTTTTTCTCATGCAGAAAAAAAAATCACTCCTCAATTTCGCTGATCACAACCCCTCTCTTCACAAGGCCTCATGATTCACGTCATCTGTTTTCTTGTCCAGTATACCAAGCTGCAACAGTATATTGATTAATTATGAATCCGATGGATTGTGTCGTCTTGCAAGCCAGAATGTAATTCATGCATAATAAACACGTGAAATAAATCGATAGCGTCGAACCAGATTAAAAGAATCTCGTCTTTGATCTTGCTGTGCTTGTTGCTCACTGGATCTGTGTCCTTGTCATTGCAGGAAAAATGTGGTATGTCCCATTATTGATGTGATCAGCGATGAGACATTTGAGTATCTTGCTGGCTCTGACATGACCTATGGTGGATTCAACTGGAAACTGAACTTCCGCTGGTACCCAGTGCCCCAGAGTGAGATGGACCGACGGAAAGGAGACCGGACAATACCTGTCAGGTAATCTGGAGATGGTATTGTACTGTATAAGAGATTAAGTACAGTGGTGGCTTTTGTGCCAGTTCACATATTATATGTTTGAACAAAACAATATTGACAGTTTTCACACTCATGTTGAGCCTCTATTTCATCCTTTATAATATCTGTGGACCCTAATTAGGCTTTTTCTATCTACGTGACTTTACTGAAAAAAACAAAGAGTGGATTCCTCCAGTCACGTAAGCTTAAAATCAAGATCTAATTAGGGTGTTTAATTGTTTTACTTCATATTGATATCGTGTATTGTAATGGAGGTTCAGGTCGTTATATAAAAAAACATTACATAATTACATAAAATCCAATGGCTCGATCGTGAAAGATAAAGAACCATCAGCCTGTTCACAGAAGTACGTAATCATTTGTGTGGCTGCAGAGACAATGATGCTTTAACATCGTTCCATGTGAAATAGAGTGACATTTTGGTGCATTTGGCAGGTCACCTACAATGGCAGGAGGGCTGTTTGCCATCGATCGTGACTACTTTCAAGAGATTGGCACGTATGATGCCGGCATGGACATTTGGGGTGGAGAGAACCTGGAAATGTCATTTCGGGTCAGTGACTGCTGCACTCACGATACCCTCTGCCTTTAACAACTTGTGTCTGTCAATACACGATGCCAATATGAAGTAAAACAATTAAACAGCCTGGGACCTAAGCTGAGTCTATTATATTTTGGACCCTTTCAACGCATTTGGGTCTCCATATTAGCCGCCGATTCATGAGCTGCATGCAGGGATAATGGATAACAACCTGGTCCCTAGGACATGTAATTGTTATTATTATTTCCCTTCTACGTGACTTTACCGAAAGAACCAAGAATATGTAAAAACCAGTTGATTTGTGCGATTTAATGTCATAATAATAGAATGCTAAGGTGAATACAATTATATAACTACATGTTGAAGGCAGTCATTTAGTGAAGACTTCTAAGGAGGCGTAGCAATGTTGTTGTGTGGGTAGTGGACAGTTCAGGCCGGCAGTGTTACGTTGACATCTGTAACTTTCCCACTCGCTGTGGTTTCTCTGAGCATCGCTGCCTCTGGTACGCGTCGTGGCATTGACCTGGTGATGAGTGGTGCTTCCTTTCCCATGTAGTTTGTCTCTGCAAATGCAGGTCTTGCGTATCGAGATGGAATTACAGCGCTAGTCATGCATGAATGTGTCTCAGTAGAGGTCACCATTAGAAAACTGTACTTGAACCAGGAAAATAAATGTCCTCATTAAACATCTGGTTTTGTGTTGGTCAATTAGCAATGCTTGGCATTTTCATGCTTTGCCTTGTGCATAAGAGTACTCCATTACTTTTTATTATTATTATTTTGACTTAAAAGGACAGATAAATAAGTCATCGGGAGAGCATATGCAGTATTTTTTTTGTCATACATGCATGAATAACAGATGAGTTAACACATTCTATTTCACACTTCAGATTAAAACAGTCATCATCACTGTTCTTTAATTTTGTAGATTTTTGGTCAGACAAGCTTAAGCCACGTGTAATTATTTCAGCATGTCGTCTTGTGTAAGCCATTTGGATCTTTCACGTGAGGAATAATGCTGTTTTAATAGATTGCAAACATGCAAGTGGTATTCTAATACTCAAATTATACGTAGATAATATACAGTAGTCGGAATTACACAGTCGTTTGTATTTTAAGCTTGGAATTATTACAGTAATGTAATTTAAGCATTCAGAGTCTAATGTAATTAAGTAGTGTTTGAAATGTGATTCTAATTAAAACTCTCAGCTCACGTTTCTATGAAATGATATGTCTAGATGCTCTTGACCTTTGCATTGCAGTGTGACGTTTGGTTTCTCTTAGTTGCTTTATGTAATTGTTTTGTGTAGCGATTAATTTTCCTTACACAGACATGAGTACAATTGTAATTTGCATTTTTAAAATAATATTATATATTGTATCTTTTATTTTGATGGTTGCATCCTATTCTGTTTGTTCCAGTATTGCAGTCTAAGTTGGATTATTTTATTAATTCATATAATCACCTCCAATTTCCCGCACCTCCGATTAGCACGGTTGGCTATGTGCCGTGCGAAAGAAGTTCAACATACATACACTATCGGTGCCACGTACGTGCATTGAAAGCACCATATGATGGTATTATTTGTGTGCTCTCAGTATTTTATAATGTATTTAAAATGATAATTTTAGCGATTAGCAAAGGCTCATTGAGCAGCATCTGTAAACTGAGCATTTAAGTGTGATACTCATTTAATAAACCGACTTGCTAAGTTACAGAAAACAGTTAATGCATTATATTCTTGGTTCTTTCTGTAAAGTTACGTAGAAGGGAAATAATAAAATAAGAAATATATATAAAAAAATAATAAAATAAAAATTTCATGCATTCTTACAAAATATGTGTAACTAAAATTATTTACTCCCAGAAATTTAAGTCTGTACAGTATGTCCTATTTTGAAGATTTTAAAATATTCTTGCAGTCTCAATATTTTTTTCATAGTTTATTATGTTGCTTTTACTTCTCAAAACTCATTTAAATTCTAAGTGCATGTGTAATGACAGGGTGACACCTGCTGGCCGGAAAGGGAATCACGGGTACGGGCACGGTTAAGTACCAACCAATCAGAAAAGGAGGTGTATCTGGGGCAAAGGTATAAGGTGGGGCTAGCCGAGATACATCGGGAACCTGCTCGTAGGTTCCACGAGAGGGTGTGGCTGGAGGCGGGGCCTAGCCACGCCTGGGGGGGATATAATGGGGAGCAGGCTCGGGGCTCGTGTGTGGGGTTCTGGGTCCTGACTCTGTTGCTGCTCGCCAACATCTCTCTCTGTCGTCCAGCCACGTGGAAGATCTCCTGCGTGGTTTCCATAGCCGTCATCGTCACGCCACCAGTCAGCGGCGTAGCCGAGTGAGGGCGATGGGACCACGCCGAGTGATCGGCTGTGTGTGTAGCCAGTAGAGGTGTTAATACCTAGAGTCATACTCAGTTTGAGGAAGAGCAAGTGTTGGCCTGTGTTGTGCCCAGTTTGAGTAATAAAGAAGACGTACCCTCGACACGACGTGTCGTGGAAGTCGCTCATTACACATGTATATCAAAAGACTCCGGCGTTGTGGCGTAATGCAACAGTATTGCTGTACATATAGTGTATTAAAAACTAATGTAGCTCGGGTGTTATCACCATGGCAGTAGAGAAAATATAGCTGCTTGCCATGTTGCATTCGACCACACCAATTTGTTCCTTTTCACTTTCCATAATGCAGTCTGCAGTAACATTATTACAAGCACTAATTAATGTAACTGTGCATATGAGTATCGGTACTACTACAAGGAACTGTCAATTTATCTCACGTTTAAAGTGTTGGTGTGCGTGCTTTTGTTTGTGTTGGAATTGCGTGTATGCTGTGCATTTTAGGTCACATATAATAAGAACAGAAATGTTCCCAGTGGCTTTGATGTACTGTGAAAATTATCCACCTTTCAATCGTATGCATTTGGAAGCTATAACATTTGCACTGAATTACAGTCTCGGGATAATTATTGTATTTTTTTTCACGTGGAACACTTCAGCTGGATAGTTCTGTGGCAGAGCTCTCGATTTGCAAGTAATCGCAGGTCTCCTTTGAAAAAGGGATTTCTTGTCTCAATGAGCTCTTGCGTGATTATAAGTAATAAACTATTACTATCTATCTGAAATCAGGTTGCAAGTCCAAATCCCAAATGTGGGTTGTCTCAGCCCATCATCCCTTTCCACGTTTGATAAAGTGGAGATTTGGATTGTGGTACTGTAATCCCACGCCAACCATGGGGATTAGGGTTCCTGGAAAAGGCCGTGTTAGGCAAATCCGCGGTTGGTAAAGTACATGGCCTATGTAAAATAGGGGGTTATGGGAACCACAGCTGCGGTTAGACTCATCATAGCTTAACTACGTCGCCTGTTTCTTCACTAAACACCGAATAAAATAAAATGCAGTACATTACACAATTACATAATATAACATGAACATTAAAGTAACTTTACATACCTTTCCTATTGAGGGTAGAAGTCCATGATAATGACGATGGTGACAATCACAATGAGATGATGGGGGAAGGGGTGGTTAAAAGGAGGAGGGGCTCAGTCCCACCCTCCCCTCTTCCTCCCGGTCATCAATGACAGATGAGTGGGCAGGCGAGGAGGCAGGCACAGTGGGGCTGCTGGCTCGATCACTGGTGCTGGTGGCCGGACTGGTGGTGCTCATTCTTTTCTTTTAAAAAGTGAGGATTAATTGGCTGGTGCATTTTTGTACGTCCCGGTACACCGGGACCATGTTACGATGCGACGGGGTCTATGCGCTGCTCGAATCACAACAAAACAGACGGACAGCTGATGAGCTAAGACGCAGTGGTGGCACGGAGGAGAACCGTGGCCCCGCAAAATTTGTAAATGCTTGTTGCGCACCCGCGGTTGCTCATGGATACACACAATTTCCAGGCGGTGATTGGTAAATCGGTGAATAAATAATAAACCGTATGTATGTGAATTCCACGTTTGGCAAGTCCACAGTTGGCGAGGGATTGCCGTAGTTCATCAGCCTTCTCCATGCGGATCACAATTTCTACTCATGGCTCAGAGTTGCCAACCAACATGAGGGCTACCCCCACTGCTTCTTTGAGTGTGGAGACAATTTTACTTGACTTTGGAATACATACTAATTGCATTGTATTAATGCAATAGATGTATAAGTCTCATTAATTGTCACAATTTTGGGTCCTGTTTTCTATCTCGTATTTTTTCATTTTTTGTGTTATTTCAATTGTACGATTTAGCTTGCATTCGGGTATATGTAGCGCACGCATATAATTTGCACAAATTGTAAATAAGTAATTCTCACACACAGTTCAATGCATGCGATCATACACGTGAAATCAATAAACGTGTGCATCATTATACGTGCAATGTGCACACAGCCATTAGTGCATACGTGCATTAGTTTGTTGAAAATGTGTGGTGGTTCATAAAAATATCCCTGCATCAAATATTGAAGCTGTTAGACACGTGAAATATTTTCGTTGATATTCCACGTTCATTCATTCATCATGCATAGCAAAGAACCTTTGTGCCAAACGTGTGACCTCTTGTGACGGCATTCGCATAAACTGCTATTGCTGCCGTACCCGTGTCTCGAGTGATTTGTTTGATCCACGTATCACGGAGGCGACCACGGGGGCGGCGCCATTCCTTTGAGGGTCGCAGTCCACTTCGAACGTCAACCGTCAACTGAAGTGTGCAATTTGCTGGAGTTTATGCATCAAGATGGGGCGACGTGTCCATAAAGTGACAGCCATCTTGCTCGAATTAAGCTCTCAATCGCTCGGAGACCAGTTGTAGATGCAATGGTGACATTTATGATGAAGTTGATATTCCACAGCTGTGATACAACAATCGTCATTTTTTAAGTGTAGGTTTTAAATGTTCCTTTTCCCCCCATGTGCTAAACGGTGCATACGAGTAGATCTGGCAGTGCGGTGGGACACTGGAGATTGTTACCTGCTCCCACGTGGGCCACGTGTTCCGCAAGGCGACACCGTACACGTTCCCTGGAGGCACGGGACAAGTCATCAACAAGAACAACCGCAGGCTCGCCGAAGTGTGGATGGACAACTTTAAAGACTTCTTTTACATCATCTCGCCAGGTTTGTCAGGAATCTCACGTGCTTGGCATGTGAGCCGCTTATGTGATGCAAAATTATCGTGAGTTCTGGTGAATTGTGAATAATAAAATTAATGTGAATTGTATTTCCCTTTCTGAAAATTAAGTTGCATTAATCCATCGACCTATTTGTTCCTGGTCCACCTTCAATGATTGTCCTAGGGTCGGCAACCTGTGGCTCCGGAGCTGAATGCGGCTCTTTAAGGACTGCTTCATGACGTTATTTCTTAAGGATTGTCTCGTTTTCATGTGCATTGCAGGTCTTGAAATATTGAGTTTTTTTTACAGAATTCGGACAAAAATGGCTCTTATTAATTTGGTTGCCATCCTTATCTTTTCCCATTGTGTGAACTTTTGTTGCACTTGGCTTTTTATTTGCTCATATTTACCTTGAACCCCTCTTGGCAGCATTATTTTTAAAGTTCCTCAGTAATTTTATGTAATTAACTTCCATTGGTTGTTGCAATGACCGGGTCAACAGAAATTGAGGTCTCTAATACTTAATTTATTTATTTTATTTATGTTTATGGCTTTATTTCTCCAAAACAATTTCCGCAAAATGTATTCTAGTGTTGCTGTTAAAAGCCTTGGTGAGATAAAATCGCATGTTCTGACTTCTTTTCATATTTATATTTTATTCCGTTATGAAACCTCAGTGACGCAGTTCCATCTTTATATATGGTTTTGATTATTTGTGTGTATTTTCTTTAAGCCTGGGTTTGTGATAGCATGGATAATGGCATAATTGCCCACTGAATCAAATCCTTCTTCATAGTTAAATAATATTTGATATTCTCTAGTCTTTCTTAAAGTCTTAAAGTCTTAAAGTCACTTTATTGTCAAGTGTGTTACATGCATGACATACAACACAGATGAAATTACAGTCCTCTCTCTTGGTCCCACGGTGCAACCAAGCAATTAAAAAATTAATCACAATTAACAGACATAAATAAACAATAAACAATCGGCGATCAACACAAGATAAATAATCAAAAATGTAATAAACTTAAAATAAACAAGTCAAGAATTTTTAAAATGTAAAATATTATTTAAATAAAGTATTTAAAGAAATAAGATATTTAAACCAGTGTGGTAGTGCGATGTAGTGCAATGTGCAGTCCAGAGATCAGGATGTACGAGTGAATGTGTGTGTGGGGGATGGGGTCAGGGGGCAAAGGGGGGTGGGTGGGCAGAGGGGGGGAACCTGATTGATGGTAAGTACAAGAATATATTTAATCAGTGCCTCTTACCTGCTGTTACATGGATAGGAAACATTAGACAAAAAATATTTTGAATTAAAGTTGAAAAGTGTGCAAATAAGTGTGAAGCACATGTTGGAAATTACGCTGAGAGACAGAGAGAAGAACACACGGATCGGAGAACAATCAGAAAGTTAGATCCATCACTTTGACCATTAATAATTAGACTTAGCAGAACAAGTCACGAGGTGAAATTATGGCCAGTGGTTGAGACGAACAATAACGAAGGGGCAACCAAGGGACGGAACGCACAGGATATACACCCGCCGTGGAGATGAATCGAGAAGATCGTCTCGTGTGCAGGCGCGAGATGGATTGTTGCGTTGCAGGGCCGTGAGGGATGGCGATGGCTTACGGAGACCTTCATCCAGCCGTGGATCGATCATTGATGACGATGGTGATGAATTAATCTACCAATTGAACTTCTGGATCAATGTATTCCAATAGCTTTTGTTAAACAACGCAAACCCTGGATTGGTTTTGACGGTTTCATGTCATCGGCAGGTTCTGGCCTATTAAATAAATATTACCTAGTGGCTTGATATTATTGGCAAGAGCTATCCATGAAAAATGTTGACCTCAAAATTGTTTTGCAAAAGAGTAAATCCTAATGGAATTCTTGGGATATATTTCTCATACTCATTTCCTTTTTTTGTATGTCTGCGCTCTTTAAAGAGCATCAGTGCCTAATGTGTTTACAAATTAATCTTTGTTGTGTGTTGTGTGAAATTTGTTTAGGAAGCTTGTCCTTTAAGCTTTACGAGTTTTTTGTACCTGCAATCCCCTGGGTGCGCAGCAACAAAAACAATCTAAAGCACTTCGTGCAAACTCATTCGCGGCATGCTCCACTGCTGTATATCGCACTTAAGGCATCGGTGGCTTTCAGCATTGTGAATGGTGAATAATGAGTGCCCATGTCTTCTTCATTTACTTTTATACTTGAAAGTTATACGAGTATATAATTTTCAAATGTGTTAGTTGTATTCGTGATGTTCTTTATATCAGAGGTATCAACTACTGTTTTTTCATTTGTATTATGTCTAATATTTATGCTATTTTAAGTTTCTACTAAGAAACAAATGTATCCTAAAAATATTAATATTCACTGAACACTGGTACTGACTTAAAGGAAACTAAAATTTTCAAACTGTGCATATAAAGTCATTCATCCCATGCCTTAGACACAAATAAACATTAGTTCCTTAAATTAATGGTTTTTATATGGGTGCCATTGTGATACGCTCCTCATACAGCAGATGTATGAACTCCATCCAGTGCCCACACCCACAACACAAACCACATGCAAAGCTCCCTCGGGGTGTCATTCTGTTACACACCCACCCGACCATGTTAACTCAGAGTTGCCATTTTGTCAGTGTGTTATATTTTCGGTCCTGTGCCCAGATGTCTTTTTCTGGGCTCCAGAATGAGGAACATTTTTGGGTCTTTTGCCCCGTTTGTTGGAATTAGGGAAAAGTTTTGCACTCCAAGAGAGTTGCAGCGGCTGTCGTGGCAAGGTCGGTTGTGTGTGGACAAGCGTATCCCGCTGGCCGTCATTGCTACTCATGACCTACGCTGTCCCTGCCAAGTGTGGCTGCGTGTGTGGGAAGGTGTGGGGAGTGTGGTTACTCTCAAAGTGAGTGACCCCACTCCCTGTGCTGTCAAGTGTCTCGAGAGCAGGCACGGGATGGACGAGTACGCACCGTGTATCGCGCTGGCACCGCGAGATGGTAACGACCGAGTGTGACGCCTAAAAAGTTTGGTGCGGAAAAGGTGGGAGGCCCAGAGCATAGATGGCAACAGCAGCAGTGTCACCCTGGACACATGAGAATAGTGCCTGTAGCACTACAGCCTTTCGGGCCCACAAAAAGACGTGGCCCTAGACCGGCAGGGCCCTGGAAATTGCCAGGCTGGGTATGAACCCGAGTGGAAGCCACAGTGCGGTGCCAGTGAGCTGACAGAGATCTCGGAGCAGCTCAGCGGTTTCCTTCACCGGGCAAGGACCGCTTACTCCCACGGGTTCCATGCCGGCCATGTTAGAGGACAGGATGCTGTTGTGGAAGAGGGCCTTGCAGAGAGCAAAAACCAGGAGTGAGAGGGTATGAGTCACCTGGGTTCCTTCAGTGATGGTAGAACCTCATTGGGAGGCAAATACCTCAGAATATGAAGAAGTGGCGGTGAATGAAGTGAAGGCCCGAGAGAGAGAGTAAGAAAACTGAATTGGAAGTTTTAAAGGACACAAAAACAGTTGTCAGGTCGAGATATCAATCATGAAGAGTGTTCACTTGATTTTATTCTTAAGGAATTTAGGAGCAGGAGTGTTGCTGGAGATCTTTCCAGGAAGAGAAGCCACTGGAAGGCAGCCTCCTCTTCACGTGACTTTAAGGCAAATAGGCGAAGAGGAAAGGATCTCCATCTTCCTTATCCCAGTCATCTTCTGCATCGTGTCCCTCTTTATCAACAGACAAAGGCCATTCCCCAAGAGAGGAGGAGGAATTTTTTTGGATTTTAACGTTGAAAATCAGAGATACATTAAGGGTTGGCCCGTTGTATGCCAGCATCCCACTTCATATTTGAAAAGAATCCTGCAAATTACTCAATTAGAACTACACAGCAATCATGGCTCAATACAGGCCGACTAATGCCCACTTGCAAGCTAGCGCTGAGTCATCATGTGCCACACTGGGACAGCTGTTCCTGTTGCTCCTTCGAATGGTTGAGATGAAATGTCAGGCGATTGGAGAAGCGGAGGCATTTAAGCACCCCGTAATTTAAAATATCATAATAAAGAAAATACAAAGACATTGGTGTTTAAATGAGAAGGGGCCTCAGGGTCTACATAATTATTCTTGGACCAGCATATGGTGGATCCTATTAAACATGAATGGGAGACGCCAGCTACCACACAAGCCTTCGGTTGCACGGTGATTTTTGCTTGCTTCTACAGCACACAATGGATAAGTCCTTGGACAGAAAAGTGAGGCAATCATTCAGCAGTGGCGTTGTCAATGTGAGAAGGTGTGTACATGGCACATGCCAGGTAGTTATCCCAGGAGGTACCGCAGAAATCGAAGTCAAGTAATTCCACAAGTGTGGCCACAAAGAGAACGTTCCAGGACCTTCAGATGGCGGAGAGGATGCATCACTGAGATAATTTGAGGCATGGGAGGCTTGGCATGAATTGGATCAGTTCTTTGTCCCTCATGACTTGAAAAAGAAGATGAGGAGATCAGGCTTTCAAATGCATTATTTGGCCCCAAGACTGTAAGTCGATCCAGGAAGCATATAGGTCTATGGGTTAGGGGCAGTTCTGCAAATGCAACCACATTCCTCAAGGGCAAGCATGGCTGGGGTGTCCCTGCCGGAAATGTTTAGGGCAGCAGCATCGATAGTGGTCACCACACACTTTTACAAGGCATTATAGGTTGGACACGCTGGTATGTCCGATGGCCGCTTTAGCTCTTCTCCCAACGGCAATGCCACCGTTAGCTGCCTTTTCCATTTTATTGATTTTTCCATCACCTTACGTGGGCTTTGTTACTAGCTTATCTATTTATGAGGATTGGCATTTCAATGGCCACCGTATGAAACACTGGGCTTTAGTGATGTTAAGCCTATTTTTTTAGGCAGCTGTCTACACTCCACTCTCAACTGCTGAGCAATACATTGTATAAGGGGATGGCAAGAAGGACACTGTTTACTGCTTTCTTGTTATAGACCTCGTGTTAGTTTTGTGGGCCTTGATTTGGTGTTGCGTTATTTTGGTGAATGAGTCGACATACCCTGGTGAGGTTGACCAGGATGGTGATTTCACAGTAAAAATGGCGGCTCGGGAATTATGAGATAGGGCAGTTGTGTAATATAATAATGCCCTAAGGGGTGCAATGTTTTGTGTTAGATTTCTGAGTGCAGACACAGGATGGAATTGACAGCCGCCTCTGAAAACTGGCTTGTACATAAGAGCTTGAAGACCAATTTTGCATTGTTTTGCCCTTTTTATATATTCATTTTGACAGACAGGTCACTGAATAATTTAGGCTGTTCTGATATTTACGGTTTAAATGTTCATGGCACTTTCTCGGGTCCGAATTTGAATTGGAGACAATGTTCAATGCCTAGGCAGATGTATAAACTGGAGCCGATGCTTCCAGTGACTCCCCCAGTGTGCTGGAACTGTGGAGGGCAGGACCTTGCTTCTTTGTATCCAGCCATGACCAATTAAGCCTTAGGTAAATTGGAAAGCCCAGCGGTCTGCACACTCCATGGAGCCAGTTTGCATCGAGTGGATGGTTGGTTTCCTGCAGTCACGCGCTCATTTTTATGGCGGTCTAACAAGCCATGTCATCTACTTTAAGTGGACATTAAACACTCCGGGACATCATTTGCAAGAGCAGAATATTGTGAGCCAGCCAATATTTTAGAATTATCCGTTAAGAAAAGAAATAATTGTTCCTCTTTGCAATGGTCCTCAATATCTCCCTTTCATAAAGAGGATATTTTACCTCAAGAGGTTGTTACCTGGTTATTTTAGTTAAGGGTGTTTAGCTAATTTGAAGCTGAAAATGTAACATTGTGATGTTGCTGCATGTGGTGTAATGTCTCTGTATAGGGGTGACCAAAGTGGAGTATGGCGACGTCTCGCAGAGGAAGGCCCTACGCGATCGCCTGAAGTGCAAGCCATTCTCCTGGTTCCTGGAGAATGTATACCCCAACTCCCAGATCCCCAGGCATTACTACTCACTGGGCGAGGTGGGTAAACCAAGCGCGTGCTCCCTTTCCTCAACCACCTCTTAAAGTAAAAGCGCGTTCCAATCCTGAGAGCAGATTGCACTCCGAAAATTCTATTCTCAAGGCGAGGCTCATCTGTCAATCCCATTTTTATACTTTTCAAATTCGCAGAAGCTACTTTTATTTTTGCTGTTAAGTTGGTATAGTGGCAAGCTGCATTTTCCCTTGCAATTAAAAAATACGTTAACATCCCCCAGGACCACATGAGCAATTGAAGCACTCCCCCCCCCCCCCCCCTATTCTTGTTGGCAGACAATACGGCCATTGAGATTGCTCCAAGGACAAGAGTAAATCTGTCCTGAGATGTTACCAGTTGATTACACTACCATTATATCTCCCTGGAGGTGTTAGTAAATGAGGCTTTCAATATAGCCAGATATCCTAGGTCTGGGCTTTACAGCTGTCCCTCTGGGAAGAGAGCTGGTATGTGTTTTACCCCTTTTGCAGCACACGTCTGCAATGTTTGGTGGCCCAGTGTTCTCCGTGCGTACACCAGGAAAACCGGTGCAAGAGTTTCCCTTTATTAAAGCACGATGGGTGTGCATGTTTTTCCTTAAAATAGTGTCGTGCATACATGTAATAAAGTGAATCTTACATTGTTATCTTATGTGTAAAATAAGTAATTCAACAGAGTTGGATTTGAATAAAGTCAGTTGAACTTCAGCACAGCAAATATCAACAATAGTTACAATTCATCGATGATGATTTCTTTTTAACAAATCCGTTATTGCAGTGGATGGGAGCACCACTTTACTAGTAATGGCTGTTATTTAACTGAAGCTCTCATTGGAGGCAGCGTTTGCTTTATTATTAGGGAGATTTTCACTTTTGGTCTCTTCGTAGCATTACTACATTTATTATTTTAAAACAGTGACAAAAGCATGGGTTGATTTTTTCATCTTCATCATTATTATCGTACAGTTTGTAATAACCACTTTGTTGCTTTGCTGTGCAGATGGTTGCAATATTAAGTTACATTTGAAAGGGTTGCACAAGAGCTTATTATTAATGACTTCTATTAAAATTATTTTATGAGTTTAGTCCCCCAAGCTCAAACCTTCAGATTGCTCAAGCCTCGTTGTGCATGTGGGTTTGTGTTCTGTTTTTTATCCTTTTATATGTGCTTTTTGATATACATATATATCTATTCTCGTCATGATAATTTAGCGAGTTATGCAAAATTTAGTCTGAGTGCTAGCATGATCATTTTATGCATTATTTTCGTAGAGTTTTACTATTAAAGGCTCCGATCCAAATATCAAGAAGTATGTAAGAATTGCATGAAGTTTTTTTTTTGGCAGTATCAACATTGCAGGGGGGAGAGTGGTTACGAGACAAAAAAATTGCTTAGTATTTCAGGTATAATAAACTCCGAGTGAAGCATGTTATTTGTGAGCAGTAGAGTGGCAAGGACAAAGTGAGGGTGATTGCATATCTAGTGTACTAATTCAGAGACACTAGTAGGAAGCGTTATCCCTCTTATTTATTCCAGTTCTCACAGCCATAGGGGATAACTCCATACCAGGTCGGGACAGCCAACATGCTTCCAGACCCACAGCTTGAAGAGGCGAAGACCACGACGGTAGCAGCATGACGAGTTCCATTCCCGATAGCAGCCGGCCCCGACTGGGAGTCGGAGCTCACCTTTTATTCTCCCCAGCGTGACCAGGCTCCGCCCTCGGCCACGCACCCTTCTGGATCCCCCAGATGGCTCCGGGCTTGGCCCACGGGTCCAACTGGTAGAACGGGCTGCTACCCCTAATTCCATTGTCTATTAATCTCCCAGCACCACGCGCTACAGTGACTCATTCAATGTCACTACATCACCCCCCCCCCCCCCCCATGAAAAAAACCAGCTGTCCCGGCTGACCTTTATACGTCACGTCGCGGGATGACAAACACAACAATATCCACGCAACATTCACAATGCATGGCAACAATCCAGCCCCCAAAGTAACAGCAACCCAAAGACAAGTAGGAGCGGTCATCTGAACCGAACCGTCTTGGAACGGGCCCTTGTTGCCAGCCCCTCGTATGGGCCCAGCCACGGGTCCTCCGGGGACCCCGGGGGTAACCCGAGGATGGCCCAACGGGCACGGTCCCTCCTGGGATGAAGATGGATAAAAAGAAGAAGCGGGTGGCGGTCGTCCCGACCACCCCGATCCGCCTGTGGGTGGTGCCGCCGGCGGTTCCATGGGCGTCAGGCCCTGGGATCCTGCAGATGGAGGAACAACAATCGCCATTCACCACTAAGTGGCGGTGACATCACGACGCTTGTGCCAGGCTATGTGCACGTTGAGGCCACGTGAAGTGTCGAACGCCCGCCGGCACGAGGTCACGGGGCAGACCCAGGTGCCACGGGTTGACTGACTGAAATGAGTGGCTGATGCACCACCTGTGTCCCCTACTGTGCCCACTTGCTGTGCTTTAGTCACCCGGCACTCCGCTCGTTGTTGTGAGCGTCGCTCCTCCGCCCTCCATTGTTGTTTGAGGACGACTGCCTCCAACTGCCCAGTAGCGTCCTTCACGAGCCTCCTCCACAGAGGCCGATCTTGACACTGCTGGTACCAGTCATCGGTAAGTCCACTCAGCTCCACATCCTCCTGTACCACATCACTCCATCTCTTCCCTAGCCCGTGCCACGCCCATCTAGTCCCCTCGATCCGGCCAAACAAAAGCTGTTCAGGCATGCGGTGGGTGGGCATGCGGGCAACATGACCTATCCAACGCAGCCTTGCCTGCTGGAGGAGCTCACCGATGGGACTTTGTCCAGATCTTTTAAGGATTTGTGAGCTCCTCCCACAATCCAGCCTGGTTAAACCCAGGATGGATTGTAGGCAGGCCAGCCTAAATGTTTCTAACCAGCGAAGATGTTCCATTAGGGGGGTCCACGTTTCGCAAGCGTAGAGAAGGGAGGGAAGGACTGTGGCCCGAGAGGACCTGAAGCTTCGTGCGGAGCGACAGACTAGGTAGCTTCCACACAGCGTTACGCAACCGATGAAAAGATAATGCCACTCGACTGATTTGGAGTGAGACCTCTGCTGTTAAACCGGAGCCGGTCATAAGCACACAGCCCAGGTATGGGAAACTCTCCACTCTCTCCACAACTGCCCCATCACCAATTGGGAGTTGTAGGGGTGGAGTGTCCGATGGTACAAAATACCCAGGCAGGTGCTTAGTTTTGGTGGGGCTGAGGGTAAGGCTCTGACTCCCGGCCACATAATTTTACCTGGGCCCGCTCACCATCATGAAGGTCCTTAATGATCATTAGCAGAGGGTCAGGGACTCCGAAAGCACAAAGAACAACCTAGAGCCAAGACCTACTGATGGTATCATAGGCCTTGACCAGGTAAATAAAGCAGAGATGTAGGTCTTCCTTGGAATTGTCTCCACCTCTGCTGTAATAGGCGAACAGAAAATATGTCATCTGTGCAGGACCACCATTTCCTAAAACCGCATTGGGGCTCCGCAACCCTCTCCTCAGCGAACCTAGCAAAGCGATGTTGAATAATTCTTGCCAGGACCTTTCCCGGCACACTGAGGAGTGTGATGCCCCTCTAGTTGTTACAGGGGACCACCAGGGCATCATTCCAATCCTACGGAACCTGTCCAGTGGTCCAGACTGTTGTTATGATGTCATGTAGGGCAGTCTGTGCACAAACGTCACCCTCCCTCAGCATTTCGCTTGGGAGATCATCTCTGCCCGGTGTCTTTCCTGGTCTCAGACTCCAGATTGCCTTCAGTACTTCCTCAATAGATAGCACCTCAGCCAGCCACTCACAGGGAGTGACTTCTTCTTCCAATATTTGAGGCACTGCAGCCTCAGCAGGGTCATCCCCAATTTGTCCCACGTTTTCCAGGCTGAGGGATTTCCCCTTCCCCAGGACCTCACAGAAATGCTCAGCAAATCTGTAAACCTGTTCCTGGGTGTCGGAGATTGGATCACTATTATTTCCCCTAATTATGGTAATAGGTATGGTGCTGCAGGTTACTTTTTTGATGGAGTTAAAGAGCGACTTGTGATTGCAGCCATTGAGGCAGACTCCATCTCCTCAGCAACCCGCGACCACCACCCATCCTTGCAGCGCCTCACGGTTCTCCGAACCTCCGGTGCAAAGGCTGCGGTAAGCCTCCTCATTCTCCAACGTGGGATGCTGTAGCCGATTAGAGTGGGCCAGTCGCTTTTTCTCAGCCAGCCTGAACACCACCTCTGTCAGCCAAGGTCTCTGGGGAGGTCTGGCCGCGTACCCAAAGCAGCCATTGCAGCTGCATGAGCAACAGTCCGAAATCTTGCCCATTTCCCCTCGACATCAGGAAGAGTGGGGGACGATGCCAACCTCGGCCGCAAGCGATGATTAAATTCTCGCTTGCACCTTTCATCAGCTAGCTGAGACCATGCCACTATAGTTTGAATGGGGTCCTGGGTGTACACCCACGACCTGAGCGGAAGCATGGCAGGCGCATCTTACAGATGACAAGTCGATGGTCAGTGGGCATATCAGCTCCACGGTAGCTCCTGGACATGGGCCCGCATCCGCTGTTCCGTCACTATGTAGTCCAGCAGATGTCCACACAACATCATGCATCCATGATGCATTCATGATGTTGTGTGGATACGCCGATGCCGGAACAGAGTGTTGGTAATTAGAAGCCCATGGGCTGTACAAAAATCTAGCAGCCTCCTGCCGTTGTTATTGAGCTGATCTGGCCCATGCCTTCCAATCACTCCAGACCAGGTGCCAGCATCATGACCAACTCGGGCATTGAAGTCACCCAACAGGATGACTCTATCCCGACAGGAGGTCATAGAAGGCATCTGACTTAACGGTCTTGCCTGCATCCCTCCACGGATGTTCGTCTTCGGTGGGGAAATAAGTAACCACGACCACCACTCCTCACCTCTGGTTGATGGGAAGGCGAGCCCAAAGTAGCCTGGGGCTTACAGCTTCCCACACCTCACCGCCACGCTCCCACGCCCCCTTCATTCTTTTGTTCAGAGCCACTTCCTGTTGTTTGGCAGTCTCCTGCCCTGAGTAGAGGACTGTCCTCCTCTCATGGTGGCAGGAGCCAGAGCCGGTCTACCGGACCTCCTGAATACCACAGAGATCCAGGCTGTACCGGTCCATCTCCCAACCGAACATCTCGTCGACCGCCTGACGAACGTAGTCCTTTTCCTTCGGACCGAAATGAGTTCTGATGAATGGGAACGTCGCCACCCGTATCAATATGGTGACGCATCAGGGACGTGTGGCCTACATCGAATTTACCCTACTAAATACATCGGAGAATTCCTGAAGCAATGCCCACAACTCGCCCCTCTGCTCCCACGACAAATCCGGATTACCCGCACAAAGCGGATGCATTCATAAATCATCCGACACCGCTTTCCGTTCAACCACGGCCACGACCCGAGTGGTTACACTATTCGTTTCTCAACAACACGCCGCCGTTGGGTGGGCCAACACCATACTCCACCTGTATGACTGCGGTACCCAGCCCAGCATTTAATACTTGCAGGAAGGGCTCCTGATCCCCTCTCACTATCGTCTGGGCCCCTATCAAAGTGAAACCATGAACCGCTCTATTAGAAGGGGTTTAAAGAAACCCCACCCCCAGTGATTTTCTGGCCGAGCCGCTTCCGCAGCCTCAAGGGTACGAGCATCTGTGCACCCGGGGGAACCCAAACAGTTTCACGCACCAGGGCCCGAACCACAGCGTTAGCCATACGCAACCCAGTAGGGGACTCCAAAAAGTTCAACCGAAGCCCCAACGGTAACTCAACACAACCCAGGTCAATCAAAATCTAGAGGGGCATTCTCTTCAAAAAATCGGTCCCCAATAAACACGGCACCGCCAATGAACTTGAAACTAACACCGGGCCTGTGCATTCAATATCTTCCATCCGTATCGACGCCGCAATTTGGCCCATAATACCTAAGCTCCTGCCATTAGCGGCAACACTACTCACAGGACCAAGGCAACCCACCGTCGACGGCAAAGTCCTGTAAACAAACTCCAAAACAATGGTGGCGGATGCTCCCGTATCTATGAGCACCCGTACCTCAGCACCCTGCACAAATCATCTGACTGTGGATGATCCTGCTCCCGCTGCCATAACACGGTGTGCCAATGCAGTCCATTGCCCGGACCCCCATGGCCAACAATTGCAAACCGAAGCACCATCTTCGCACCCCGTATCCCTATGGGGGGCAATGGCATGTGCACTCGACACCGACTGCAATGGAGATGCATGAGGCGACTGTATCGGCCGGGTGAGTGATGTATCGCGACCTGCCTTTGGGTCCAGAGGAGCGGAGACTGGCAGGGTGGAGGACGGCGAAGCCGGAAAAAACTGCCCCAAATCAGCATGGCAGCCCCTGGAGATGTGCCCCGGTAGGCCACATCTGAAATAGGTAAAGGGTCCCTGCCATGGCGGAGGGAAGGTCCCCTCCCCGCTGGTCTCATCATCGTCCCACGCCGACTCTCCCGCGCGGGCTCCAACTCCCCGATGTGCAGACCCGAGAAGACTCTCGGTGCTCCTGGATGCCCTCTTCTCCCAGGAATCCAGCCCAGGCCGCCACCCCGGCACGCCGTCGCAGGTTACAATGGGCCTGGATGCATCGGGCTACCTGAATCGAGGATAGGTCGTCTTCCTCCGTGCAAAACGCCGCCAGAAGGCCACCCAATTACCCCCCGCAGCCAAAAATTGCTTCATAAACGGCAGCCACTGCACAAGGGAAGGCACCCCCGGATGAGCTGTCGGCGGCAAGTTACATTCGGCGGGACTCAATTCCCGCCCTTGGTCGGCAGTGATGGCGGAGTCGGCTGTTCGCTGCCCCTGAGTCACAGCCCCCTCCACCAGCTCTTCCTTACCCAGCTGCCCCACCAGCTCCGTCACCACAGAGAGTAGCTCCACGATGCACACGTTGAGTGGCCCGCAGCCCTTCTCCAGCCGGCGGCGGCGTGGGATCGTCGTCCTTCGCCTGTTGCCCCACTGGGACCGCCTCTCCGAGACCCCCCATTGGGGTCCCGGCTGCCGGGGCTGCCCAGGAGGATATGCTGATGTGGGCCCTCCTCTTCGCGGATTTCGACATAGCCTATTCCCCCCACAACGATTTCCAAAGGAAAAAAGAAAATTCCTATCAACCCTAAAAAAAAAAAAAATTCGTTAACACTTCTGACACCAAATGTAGTGTACTAATTCAGAGACACTAGTAGGAGGCATTATCCATCTTGTTTATTCCGGATCTCACAGCCATAGGGGATAACTCCATACCGGGTCGGGATGACGCACAGCTTAAAGAGGCGAAGATCACGACGACAGCAGCATGACAAGTTCCAATCCTGATGGCAGCCGGCCCCGACTGGGAGTCTGACCTCACCTTTTATTCTCCCTAGCGTGGCCAGGCTCCGCCCTCGGCCAGGCACCCTTCTGGATCCCCCAGAAGGCTCTGGGCTTGGCCCACTGGTCCAACTGGTAGAACGGGCTGCTACCCCTAATTCCATTGTCTACCATTCTCCCAGCGCCACGCGCTACAGTGACTCATTCAATGTCACTTCACATGTTTAAAAGTTTGCATGCACTCTTCCTTTGAACACACTCAATACCCTAGGATGTAGCCACGACAGTAGATTTTTCTTGTCAGAGTATCATTCATTTTAGTATAAGTATTATAAATAGAAGTGTTTCTCCAGAATAAAATTATCATATACGTGGCCAGTGCTTGAATATATATTCAACTACTCAACCAATTGTGAAAATTCCACACAACTGTTATTTATGTTGTAATTGCAAATTAATTGCCTCCACGGCCAACTATGAAGGTGGACAGACAAATAGGACTGTTTTAAGCAGCATGTTATTTAAACAATCTAAATAGAAAATCCAACATTTTTGAAAGGGATCTCATTTCTGCAAAGGAATGAAAACTGTCACATTTACGGCACATTGCAGTCTGGTTCCAGTTACGTGGCAAGAGCATTTTTATGAGGTTAAGTATTTTATGTGCCCCATAATTGAATTAAACCTTGGTACGAAAATTTACATTTAACAAAATGGTTTTGTTCAATATGAAATGCATGTTGACATAACCATAACACTATGGTGCACATGTAAAACGTGGTTAGTTCATACGGCATGCACCTTTTTTTCCTGCCGTTTTAGTTTTAGGTGTACCGTATGCTGAACAGACCTCTTACCGTTGTCACTGTGTGGAACCGGAGCCCAGTGATACAATCTCATTACGAGTCACTCCTCGCCGCCACATGGCAGTGCTGCTGGCAGGGGACGCGTCGAGCCAATCTACTATCATTGCTCTCTCAGAGCTTGGGTTTTCGTGGCGCGCAGAAGTGGATGTAAATGTTAATTTCAAGCATTGCGATGTGCCACTTTGCAGGTATTAGGAGGCTTGGTTTGGGCTGGCAGAGATTGCGTTTTTAGTGATTTGATTGCGAGATTGTACAAACCGTGCCTGGCGTGCATTCTTAATTGAGCATGTAACTGTTGGAACAGGAAATCTGCAACATTACATTTTCTGGCCAGAACTGCAGCCTGAATTATTAGTCTTGCGTGCAGTATATTATCAGCCATTTATTATGAGTCAGAGGTTAATGTCCAAGAGATTCCAAGCTTGCAACTCAATTTTCGTTTGCTTGCAGTCGCTCGGAAAACCAAACATGATTTAATACATAAACCTAAAACACTTTTTGAGTCACCGAATTGTTTGAGTAGGTTGTGCATTGAACATCAGACTTTAATGGTTCTCAATACTTAATTTTTTTTTAAACACATTTCTCTTCATATAACTGTGTTATGCAGGTCTGTAAACATTTTTAGGGTTGATATTCTCATCACACTGTTGGGATTTTAGCAAATGTTGGTGTATATTGTCCTGTGCATTGTACATTGTAATGTTGAATGCATGCTTCAATTGTGCTGGAATCTCAGCACTGATTACACTGGTCAACACACTTTTTCTGGCATAAGGTATTCCAACGGTTTTAAGGTAATTTTGGGGTGCTGATTCCAAATCTGGCATCAGTTTTGTCTATCACATCAGGTTTTTGAGACATCAAATATTGCATTTTCAATAAAAACTGCAGAAGAAAAATATTAAATAAATGTGTATATCTACATACAATTATATTATAAACACACTATCCTACAAATACAGCACCATATTTTAACACTAAAGCAGTCACTGACTCGCAACAACTTGCAATCATAAGTGACAGAGTTAATTTCGGGTAAAATCAATGAAAATGGGGTATGTGGATAGCATAAAAATGATGTGACAGAGCAAATCTGAGATCAGATTTGGAATCAGCACCTTGAAATTAGTCTAAAACAGCTGCAAAAGTCCAGGCCAGAAAAAAATGTTTTTTTTTGTTGACCAGTGTTATTAAGTTAATTCTCACAACTCTTTTTTGCGCCAAAGTTAAACTTTCAAGCATATCAATTAAATATTTGGGATGTTTGTTTATGGCGAAAAGGCAGATTTTTTTTTCAGAGACATATCTGTGTACATTAAGAACTGTATTTTGCAAACGGGGTTACATTTCATTTTGAATGTAGAAACGTTAGATTAGCATGTGCATACAAATGATGTTCCTGTAAATATTCTGGCGGAGATGAATGCATACTGTGTGACTGCAGGTGAGAAATGTGGAGACAAACCAGTGCCTGGACAACATGGGTCGGAAAGAGAATGAAAAGATTGGGATCTTCAACTGCCACAGCATGGGTGGAAACCAGGTAAGTTGTACAGAAGAAGTCAATGTGATTTCCTACTTAAATTGGCATTGAGGTGGTGCTCATTTGCTCATTACCCATTTACAGCCCTGAGCCACTGATGGAATTTCACATTCCTGTGGTGAGGGTGAGTATTCGTAGGTTCAACCACTATTGATGTCCCCACAAAGTGGTACGTATTTTGTCAATCCCAGAGGGATGATGGGCCAAGTTAACCCCCCCCAGCTGGGATTTCATCTTGCAAGCTTCTGATTGTGAACCACTGCTTGTAACCACTGATCCACCTGGCTGGCAGGCCAAGTGCTACAGGAAAAAAGCCATGCTGGAGTAATAAATGACACTTTTACTCACGATATAGGATTACTGTTTTTTATTATGTGATTCACTGTTATAAGTTGTATAAGTGCTAAGGTGAAGACCTCGCCTTAGCACTTACAAACTCATATGCTGGAACCTGTCAAATACATTAATGTAACAGAACACTGAGCACACACACAAGTTGTCAGTAATTTGTTGTAATTTTTTATGCCTTTTCAAACTGCCACCGACCCCTACTTTCAGCTGCCGTCTTGACAAAGACAATATTAATCAAAACATATGTCTATAAACACGTCTCCTGCTGGCTCCCCCATTTTTATTAAAATATTTATTGTACTCTCATTCTCTTTTTTTTTTTCAAGAAATACCCCCCCCCCCCCCTCTCCAAGACTTAAAACAAATCTCTCGAAATAAATTACCTGCAGGG